GGTTAGTATTATTTTGAATGCTAATTTTCTTACGTAAAAAACGTGTTAAAGCAATCTCGGTGCGTAACGGCTAGACTTTTATTTCAAGTCAGCTGTTTACACATGCTCCGTATGATTCTATTATGGTGTCTCGTCAGTCTTATGCATCAAATAAATGTGCGCTTCACTAGATTCATTTGCTTGTCATTTTATTTTAAAGAATACCGTCATTACCGAATTCACAAGACCCTGAGCCAGTTGAATCCAGACTACACCTTCACATAGTAGTTTTATTGTTATGTTATTATCTTATTTACACCTAGGTCGGAACTTCTTTTTCACTAGGTATTATTAGGATAATACAGAGATGTACAAGACATATAGCACGCATGGCAGAGATGAGAAATTCATAAAAACATTTATCCGAAAACAGTAAATAGAAAACAATTGGGAGATTGGGTACAGCTGTAAATAGTGTTTGAGGGCGTGGAATTAATTCAGCTGACTCAAGATAGTGTTCCATGCCGGCCTGTTGTGAAGATAGTAATGAATTTTCTGGTTTAAATAAAAGCGGAAAACAACTTGGCCACCCCAGAAACTAACAGTTTTTCAATAAAGACACTGACTCGTAAAAGTAATAGTTAAGAACAGGTCTTTTTGTTTATACTGGATCATATAATATTAAGATTCTTGGTTCAGTCATCCGATAGAACTCATGGCTGTAATATATCTTTAGGATAAGCTGGTTCTAGCTGTTTTTTAGTACGTCTAGAATTTCCAGTTGTACCTCTGGATTACCACGAATGTAACGACGTTCCTCGATGCTCAGACAGCAGTTGCTGTTCACGACGTCGCTCCAAGACGCCGTCAGCGGGAACACGGGTCCAGTGTGGGCGTCTCCCTCTGGCAGTGTCAGCCGTAGGCGGTAGCGGTCAGCTTGTACTGCGTCACCCAGAAGCCAGAGCCAGACGAGGAGGTGTCCGGGCCTCGCTCCAGCAGCGACTTCGACAAAGAATATGACATCGCCGTAAGCCGTGAACGACATCAAGGCCTTGGAACTTGATGACGGAAGCCGAAGTGTTACTCCAGAGGACGACGGCTGAATGAAATACTGGACCAGAGGGCCTTGATGGACTTCGCGCAGATGTTGTAGCAAGGTGCGTGAACCGTTCAGGATACTGCAGCAGCGTGGCTTTGACTTGTTTTGGAATGGACAGTGTAGAAAGAGCTCACCAGCCTCACTGCAGGATGTTTTTGCTGAAACCGAATCATTTCCGGTTGGAATCTGCCCCGCCGACAAAGAACGTGTTCTCAGAGGCGAAGGTGATGCTCCTTCCATGAAGGAAGATGTTATCTGCTCACTGACCTGTCTCACCGACAGATGGCCATTACGCGTTGTGTTATTTTCTCCAGAAGAGGCTTTAGGTTTTACCAAGGCACGAGAACTTTGAAGTTTTTCATCCACATCATCAGTTGTTGCAGAAGAATTTTCTTTCGGTTGTGTCATTTCAGAAGAAATTTCAAAAAAATCTTGTGTTGTTGGATTTCCATTTGACGTTCCTGCTCTCGATTTTGTTTGATCACCAGCCGTTCCCCGAACAGGGTCTGCTATAATGCGTGACTTAAGATAGAGAACAGATTGGTTGCGAACCTGCTTCTTATTTTCCGGACTCTTTTGTTTGTAGTGGCTTAGCGTTGTTGTCAGCAGGCTGTGAAGTTTATCAGCAAGAAGACATCTTCCTCGCGGACCAAGACCCACTCGGCACACCGGGCATCTGTCGGCCCTGGCTCGACACCTTCCACAAAGAACATGACCATTGCAGCACTGGAATGCTGGAGGAGGGATCGTCTCAAGACACACCGGACATTCCAGAAGCTGGATAACTGACTGAAGGCAACTTGACAGACGCTGAAGGCTCACTGGCGTCGTCCCATTTCCAGAGATCTGCAACAGTCAGTGTAATATAGAAGGCTTTAGAAGCAGTTCGTACAGTTGCTGGATGCCAGAGGCAAGGGCTTATGGTAAGTAGTTGTTATTTTCGCTTTAAGCTGTTTCTGGAATATTTTAGTTGAGAGGTAATGTAAGACATAACTGCAAAATATATCATTACAGTTGAAGTTTATTTATCATCTGGATTTATTCAGTGGCTCATAGTTGGAAACTTGGGACAGATGTAGGTATTTGAAAAAGGCTGCTACATTATATAATTTTTTCCTCGAACACGAAACTGTCGTGTCGTGATCGATGGATTGTATGAACTTCATATTTCGTTTATCGTAGTTTTGGCAAGTCGATTACTAATTCACCCTTATCGATCTAGGATGTCTCCCTAAGGTTTAGAACACATTGCGCCCAGAACAGGGTTCAGGGTCTGCAGCTGGCAAACATTTCTTTTGTTTGTATTTCGATTTAAGCACAGCCATGAATAACCACTGCAGTTGTAAAACCAGTCAGTAATTCAGTTACTTGGCATACTTTTTAGGGTTAAGTTATCCATTTTGAGACAAAAGGGGTAACCATGTCACAACTGTTATTACTCGAAACTTATGTATTTATTTATTTATGGTTTATTTAACTTCGCTTTCAGAACTATAACTCATTATATAGTTTCGAATGATTCGTAATTAATTGGAAAGAACGTGGAAGGAAAGGCTCGTAGCCTAATTTAAGGGGCTC